GGGGGGGGGGGGGGGGGGGGGGGGGGGGGGGGGGGGGGGGGGGGGGGGGGGGGAATGCGGGGGTATCAATTTTGTGGTTGACGCTCGTCATTCGGCCGTTGACCACGCAAGCGTTCGCCGCCAAGTCTTGATCCCGCACGCTCTTGGTCGAGCTACCCACCAAGTCGGGCAGTGTTGTATGGTGCTGTTTAAAGTTCGCATGCGTTCCACTTAATAGGAGATGTTGCTTCTCTCGCCACCTTTTGGTGGCCGTCGGTGGCTAACATTCCAACGTTTATTTTACAGCGCGAGAGCTTTCTTCACCAAGTCCAAAAAGAACAGAGCATTGGGGCGGGGGTGAACTACGTGTGGGGAGAGAGGGAGAAAGAGAGACAAAGAGGGAAAGAGAGAGAGAGAGAGAGTTGGGGGGGGAGAAAGCGGATGTTCAATTGTGGAACGCTAATGACTCCGGCGGACACGCGCGTGCTACAAACTTACCTACTTTACCCGCATAGGTGACAAGGCCTTTGTGTCACTCGGGTGCGTTCAAGGAGGGGGGGGTCTTGAGCTGCGGCGACACCAACAAACAGTAGCATTGATCGAGACGAACTCTCTGCCTTCGACACTCGACGCCCCCGAGCCTCGAAATCAACACCAATGCTCTTGCTTGATTGTGTCAGGTGGTGCGGTCGCGGCGGGCAAACTTTCGAAAGGAAACATTCTTCCAAGTACTGGCATCTATTAGGAAAAATGAATACAAACGCAGTCAACCACAGTCGAAGGGGTGTGTTGGAGTTTTTGCAGTGAGTAGAGGGAAACCGGGTGGGTACGACATCAATGTTAGGTGTCGGGTACAAGCGGAGGTTCTCGAGATAATATACCTGCGAGCTTGGAACCTCCCCCCAACCCTCCCTTTCCGTCACCACACTCTCCAAATGGCCGCGGCAGAACCGAACGTGGTACATGTGCTACACAAGCCACAAGGACAGAGCTGCCAATCATCAGACACAACAGAGACCCCGCCCACGGAGGCACGCATATTCGATACACGAATGGTACGGTACCTGGATCGCCTGGTTTGCCCCCTGGCCGAGGTTAGGCGGCATAGCGTGTGCGGCGTCCCCCAGGAGAACCACCTGCCCTTCCCCTCGGCTCACCCAACCCTTCCGATCATGTCGGCGGAAGACAATAAAGGGAGTAAAGGAAACGGGGGTAAAATCAACATGTTAAAAGTGGACGAAGAGGTTGTAACGCAAGCCGTAGCCCATACTAGACCATTGACCTCGCATCGCTACATGCCGGGACGGAGGAATGCTTTGCCGGGTTTTCAGTTTCGGCGGGCTTCAGAGTGCAACTTACACTCTTGTGGTGGAGCACGAACAAGATAGCAGCAACTCCCCGTCGTAAAACAGCACAGTAAGCAGCCCAATATAGCGGCATGGAGGGGCAAGAGGAGATTATGCCACCATTCAGGGCCCAGTGCCGCTATTCGATAGAAGTACATAGGGTTCATGTACATGTTGAGATTGTGACAAGAGATTTTGATGCCACCACATCGGTAATCCGACTATTCGAGTTGCCACTATATCTGGCTGCTTGCTGTACTGGTCTTCAAGGGGCGTCGCGGCCGAGACTGTCCCTCTCTCCACCACAGCCCCAGGGGGCAACACTTTGTCGGGATATTTACGTACATGAGGAGGTTGAGAAACGCCGTGGGAAGTGCTGAGCTGCATCGGGCAGCCTTGACGCTTTCTGAAGCTGTTCGTTTTGCTTTAGACTACCAAGGCGGGGGGTACAAACAGCACTGCTCCGCCCTCCAAGGCTGAAGCACTCCTCATGAACAGGTACACAGATACTTGCAGCACATGCTGACTGGGACGGACAGCACGCATCCGCTTCGGCATTCGAGTGACGTTCTTATTTCGGAACCAACAGCTACAGACTTATGTTTGCGCTTTATAGAAGCCGAAATCAACCATTAGACAAGTCAGCGCTGACTAGTCCAATGATTTGATTTCGGGGTCCACGAACCCCACGACAAACTGTTATAGAAGCCGAAATCAAACCATTAGACTAGTCAGCGCTGACTAGTCTAATGGTTTGATTTCGGCTTCGGTAGCTTGTACCTCCAGCGGATTCCTGTAGTACACGCCGAGCTCGTAGAACCGATCGCTCGCCTCCGCCAGCGCCCTCATCTCTTGAGGAAACCCCCTCTCGTCCAGCCTCCGCAGGCACGCGCCCTTGGCCTCCACTTGATCCCACACGGCGTTCTCTTCTTTTCTGCGCGTTCGGGTCGACACCAGCAACAGGAGCAAATGTTGTAGCCAGCGAGCTCGCTGTGCACGGCACAATGTAGTCGTACATCTTGCAAAATTCAACAAGAGGGAGGGCAACGAGTGAAACCACCTGAGCTGTTGGCCTCATCCGCTTGTACGTCATGGGGAGCGCGCACACGTTCGCCCCCCCTGTAGGCCGAAAAACCCAACATAGACCGACGGGTCAACAATGAAGACGGCGCTTGTACCGACCGCTTGTACCGAACGCAAGTTTCAGGGAGAGCTGTCGTCAACACGTTTCCAAAGCCATTAACGTTGTGGGGCCATTAACGTTCCTCCTTCTCTGCCTATCGCGGGGGATATCGAGCTCGGAAAAGCTGGCCCGCGGCAGTGTTTCGTATGGCATGCGTGGGCAGCAGCGCAAGGTAGGGCTGTAGGCCCTCGTCACCTTGCTGCGACGCGGAGTCGCCCTTTCAGTGAGCATGTCACCAAGGGGGTGAGGAGTCCTGTAGCCGTACTAAATACAACCACGTCTCCAAAAGTTCCACAGAGCCTTGGTCGCTCCTCTACCAACCGAGCGATCAAAGGGTCACCAGTTCTTTGGGAAGGTAGTCTTCTCTGTTTTTCCACAAAAACGAGTTGTATACAAGGTCATGTACGACTGCTGTGATTGGATGCCATCAAGATGTCGAAAAGAAGAACCAACAACAGGCAGCAGGTAGCGAACCGTTGCCACGTCTGTGAGAACAAGAGTCTTCCTCATCAAGTCAACAACCTGATCTGCGCAAGTCACCTGTCACGGTCCTGGTACACGGCCGCCACCATCTCGAACTTCTTGTCCCCGATGCCCTGGTAAGTGGCGCTCAGCCCGTACGTGTCGCCCCCGAACCACTGGTGCAACTCTCGTTCGGACCTGAAAGCCAAATGACCGTGTTGTGGCGGTGACGCTTGTTGTCTCTGGATTGCGCGGGGGTTGGGGCGGGGCGCGATGGCTACGTAGGCCGGAGGCTTTCACGGTGATTGAGGGGGGTGGGGTACTTATAGTCGTGCATGCCGTAGTCGTTAGACCATTGACCTCGCATCCCTACAAAGCCGGGACGGAGCACGCCGGGTTCTCACCGGACCAGGCTCTCACATCACCAAGCGCGAAGCGCCGTGAGATATTCGGCGAGTCGCATGAAGGGTGCGCTGCATCCTGCTAAGGGTGTTCGGCATCTTGTGCTTACTTCCTTGCGTACGGATGACAGCTGCGTATGAATTAATTTATTTTCTGGTGCTTTCAATTCCAGAGACAGCTGTAAGCACTGTGTAACTGCCTCGAAGGTGCTTGACCATTTTAACACAACNCTACTTCCTTCCTTGCGTACGGATGACAGCTGCGTATGACATAATATACTTTCTGGTGCTTTCAATTCCAGAGACAGCTGTAAGCACTGTGTAACTGCCTCGAAGGTGCTTGACCATTTTAACACAACGTGGTGCGATCATCCCCCTTGCGCGGAGTGAGGGTTCTCGACCCCGCACAACATAATCTACTCGACCACCATTATGGTTACCGCCAAAAAAAAAACGAGAGGAAAAAAAAAAACGGAAACCAGGTTGGCGAGTTCACGAAGTGAATTGGCTTGTTTTACAACGCCGTTGCCAAGCGACGAAAACCCAATCCCGATGGTATGGTGGGGGTCGTAGAAAAAAAAAACAAAGGTGGCGAGGAGAAGTTTCGGGAGAGTTTATGGGGGGGGCAGCACGTAGTCTCTACCTGAAGAAATAGGAAAGACAGGTGCCGGTGCAAACCCTGGATCGATACGATATGTCTAAAACTTGCACTCTCGCGGTGAAACGGCAGTTAATGATGGTTCCCAGTTTTCCGCAGAACATACCCTCCCTGCTCGAAAAACGTCCAAGCCGGGACACAAACAAAAACAGCCATGACAATGTTCGCTTACCCCTCCGGCCTCTGCCCCGCCAGCGCCACCCCGTACTGGATCCGAATCCCAGAGTATATGGCGTCGTCGTTGCCTCCGCCGCTACCTCCCCCCGGTCCGGCTCGAACCGCCTTCCGCGCGGCCCCCTTGATGCCGTCCGCCCCCACCACGAGATCGAACGGACCTTCCGCCGAGCCGTCCGCGAAGCGGAGCGTGGCTCCCGAAGGGGATTCCTCCACGGAGGTGACCTCTCGGCTCGTGCTCACCACGCCGGAGGGAAGCCCGCCGGCTAGGATTTGCATCAGGCGGTCGCGCATGATGGTGAACAGCTGGCACCGGGGCGAGGGGGGAGGGGGGGGGAAGGAATTATGGGTTGCCTGTGGGTGTAACCATGAAACTGCGGTTAACAGACTCTCTCTCTCTCTCTCTCTCTCTCTCTCTCTCTCTCTCTCTCTCTTTCTGTGTTGCTATGGTGGTGTATCGTGAAGGATGAAGTCGGGTGCAAACCCGCGGGCGCGGGGTCCAGAATGCATGGTTATGGTCCATTGGCAGTGGATGCACGGGCGTGCGAAAGGTGTTGCCGGTAGCAAGGCGGTTTCGCTCGTAAACATACGCACACATACCACACTTGTTCTTTGTGCCCATTACCTCTTTTGTAGCACTTGTCGAAAGATACTCATCGTGCCTCTCGCTTTGTTCAGTTTCTCCACCCCCCCCCCGGTGTTTACCATCGGGGTTGGGTTTTCGTCGCTTGGCAACGACGTTGTAAAACAAGCCGCCCCCCCCGGTGTTTGCCATCGGGGTTGGGTTTTCGTCGCTTGGCAACGACGTCGTATCACAAGCCAATTCACTTCGTGAGCTCGGCAACCAGGTCACCGTTGTTGTTTTGTTCCTCTGTTCTGCTTTGGCGGTGACGATAATGGTGGTCGAGTAGAATATGTTGTGCGGGGTGGAGAAGCCTCACTCCGCGCAAGGGGGATGATCGCACCACGTTCTGTCAAATGGTCAAGCACCCTCGACGCAGTTACACAGTGCCTTTAACTGTCTCTGGAAGTGAAAGCACCAGACAAGTACTCAAGTCATACGCAGCTGTCATCCGTACGCAAGGAAGTAAGCA